ATATATATATATATATATATACACACACACACATTCATATCCTGCATGGAAAGTGACACTTCCTTTATCCAAGGGAGAAATACTAGGTTATCCTCTTGTGCTGGAGTTTAATTTCCCACGGAGAAAAAAGTAAAAGAAAAAGAACATGAGTAAGCTTGTTAAAGAATCTAAGGTTTGCTATGTTTGTGTGAACCACTAGACAGAAGTCATATGAGTATTGCCTGGGCTTTAATGAAGAAATAAATGCTGTGAAAATAATTTTTTAAAAACTATGTGATGTATTTTTGCATGCCTGGCTACATTTTGGGGGGCCTATTTTGGGCAATTCTAAGACATAGTCAATTTAATGTACTAAAGCCATTCTATTTAAATAAGGTTTATTAAAGTTAAATCCCACACTGTTTCTCTAAAATAAACCCATATGCCTTTTTTCCTGTGCTCTGCCAATGGAGATTATATATCTCTCAGCTGCCTTTGTTGTTTTCTTAAGGACGCTTTTTTTCATCAGATGAACTATTCTGTTTGCATTCTTCACTTTAATTACTTAAAGAATCTCTGAGTTTACGGCCATAAAGAGATGATAAAGTTTTAGGATATAATTCATCTTAAATTCACTCTCAACTGTCAGTTATGTCCCCTAAAAACATTCCACTGAAGGATTACAGGAGAAGAAAATTCAAATAAATGTTCTTTTCCTTTTGTAAGCTTATATTTAGAGTCAACTGAAAGAAAGCCAAAAGTTATATTTGCAAGATAATAATGTGTAAGCAAAGATGTTAATAATTAGTGAAGAATGCATATCACAACACATAAAACAATGTCTTCCCCTTTTTAAAATCTGAGGACTGAAAAACCTCTAGTTCAGAGCTAACGGTTCTCAACCCCTTAAAAGACTGAGCAGCACTTTTTTCTTTTTGGCAAAAGTAATACGATTTGTTTAAAAGCCTCAGTCAACAGGTATTTCCTGAAAATACTTTCCATAAAAAGTAGAGCATGGTTCTCCAGAATGAAAACCGATCCATTTTCCCATTTTCTTTTTCTTTTATTTTTTGTTCTTCTTTTTTTTTCCTCCTCTGTTTTTCTTTAACTTTTCAGCCAAGGGTTTCTATGATCTTGATGCCTTAAATGAAGCTGCTTGGACAAGTGCCCAGAGCCTGTTGGTTCCCTGTAATATTTGTGGGCGTACCTTCCTGCCAGACAGACTGATTGTTCACCAACGATCCTGTAAACCAAAAGTCGCCAAGTAAAGCTCTTTCTCCCTACGAAATAGTTACAGGAATTAAATCCTTTGGAAAGAGCTGGGATGTGACGGGGAGGAGGAAAAGGAGGGAAGGAGAGGAAACAAGGAAAAGTGGACTTGACCAAAGGCCATCGAGCACGAGACGCCCAGCTCAGTGCTTTGGGGGCCTGGTGTGACCACTGTGTCACTGCTTTTAGCATGCAGCTGCGTGTGTGTGCCTTGGCATGCCAGGATCTCGCATGTCACATGGTTGTCAGGCAGAATTACACGTGGCCGCCCCTCATCAGAGCTGGCATTTTTATCTCCAGGAAATTTCAGAGCCAGTTGTTGCTGTTTCTCTTCTGGTCTGATTTCCTGAACAAGATTCTGAACCTCACACTTAGGTCTATTATTCAGTGAACAGAGACTTTGGGTGGTGACTTCAGGCAACTCTTCAGTTCTTGAGAAAAACTGGATTCCCTCCCATTCCTGTGCTTTCTGAAATAATGTGCCACTCCCTGCTATTTCTGATCCAGGGAGATGTTTTTAATTGAGTTAGTGACCGGGAGTCTTCTCTATAAAATTGTTCAACAGGAGACACATACAAAAGAAGAGCTAAGGACTTAAAGTACTAGAAGCACACAGAACTCATACTCCCTTTTACTAATAGTGAAAAATGCTGCAAGGAAAATTCAGCATCCGTGCCAGCCTCATATGTTGGGAGATTGCTGTGATGTGATTCATCCCACGGGTGGAAGCTAGCTCCCTCCTCCTATAGAAGAGGTCCAGCAAGAGTTCTCTCTGCCCTCCTAGGGGCTTATAGGTGTTTTATTGTGGAGATCTAAAAGCCTGCCTGGAAGTCCCGTGCCTCCCAACCCAAAGGCCACGCATGGGTTGTGCAGCTGCTCTGGATCTGAGTCCTTGAATGTGCATTCAGAGAGGCGGGACTCCTGGGAGGAGGCCAGGGCCAGGGAGGTGCTCTGCCCAGGAAATTCTGCTCCCCCGGGGCAGCGCTGCTTTGCCTGGACTCCCAGCAGTTTTGCTTGAGATCTTTGTTCATTTTATGGCTGACTTTCAGCGCCATTTTGGATCCACCAGGTAGATTCCTGCAAACCTTGCATTCATGACCTTACACAGCACAGTTAACTCCAAATTATACAAGCAAATTTATTTGACCTAATAATTTGGTCATAATCTGCAGGTCATAAAATGTTAGGTTAGGATAACTGTGCTAATTATTTGGGTTTTCCTGCCTGTTCCAAAGGAAGCAAGAGATGAACTTCTTAAAAAGTCTTTTAGATATCCCCAAATAAGATTAGCATCTTGTAAAGGATAGCCTTTAATGACTCATACTTGATGGTTTGTTCTTTTATTTTGTTAAAAAAAATGACAACAACATCTAATGTGTAGTGAGTGTACTGTGGGTCAGGCACTGTGCCTATTGCTTCCTATATATCAGTTTATATAAATCTCACATCAACCCTACAAGTAGATAGTATCCTTATTTTATACGTGAGGAAACTAATACTTAGACTAAAGTAGCAAATTCAAGGTCACACTGGACTTGAGTTAAGGGTTGGAGTCAGGAAGCAAACTCAGGACTGTTGGACTTCCAAGCCCATAATCTTATCCATTGCCATTTGTGTGCTAGATACCACAATTAATAAGATTAACTCCAACACAAATGATCTGACAAATGTCAATTTTGTACAATGTTTAGTAACTAAGGCAAATGGGAATTTTAGCATGCTTGCAGTTTGGCTGCTGGTCTGGGTTTATCTTAAACGGAGGTGAAAACAAAAGTATGAACTGCATTGTGTGTGATTTATTTATTTATTTATTTTTTTTGCGGTACGCGGACCTCTCACTGTTGTGGCCTCTCCCGTTGCGGAGCACAGGCTCCGGACGCGCAGGCTCAGAGGCCATAGCTCACGGGCCCAGCCGCTCCGTGGCATGTGGGATTTTCCCGGACCGGGTCACAAACCCATGTCCCCTGCATTGGCAGGCGGACTCTCAACCACTGCGCCACTAGGGAAGCCCTGCGTTGTGTTTTAAAAGCTACTTCTGTATTCTGCTGATGTTCGGAAGTCAGACAGCAAGGGAAATAAAGCAAGAGTTCTGGCCTCAACTTTGAAATGAGTGGCCATTTGGGGTCATAAAGAGAGATTCATGGACCTTCGCTTTCAAAGCATGAGAAAAATAAAACAAAACTACTTTATCTGTAGGAATTATTAAATCTGAGTTCTTGAAGCGGTTGAAAAAGATGAGCTCTTGTAAGAACTGTGCTTCCACAGGGAGCAGCTTGAGGAATGTCAAGGTGCTGACCGTGGGACTTCCGCTTCTGGCTCCAGCTCCAGCTCCACCTGAGCTGGCCTGGAAACATTACAGGGGATCAGATCTGAAGCAAGTTCAGTCACAATGACATCAATCCAAGGGCTCCCATCTTTCATCAAGGCAAGTCACTGAAGTCTCACCATTAATAGGACAGAGCTCACCTGCTCTCTGCCACCTGCCCTCCCCCCAATTTGTTCACATCTGTGCAGATTTTTTACTATAAAAAGGAAAATGATTTCTTTAACAATGGTTGGCACATCCATGAGCTTTGAATCTGAATCTTGTAATGGTTCCCATAGATAGTGCTCTAGGTGATGAAGAGCAGATACTAGATGAAGGTACTTGGAGCTCTTACAGTGGCTCAGGTAGGTATCGGCTTGGGATGCAATGTTATTAGAGGCATCGGCAACAATACAATTCCCTCTCTGCTCTGGCAACTGGTGCTGCACAGTCTTTTATTGAATTCCCCTTTAGTTGAGGTTATGGGAAGAATTCCAGGATTTCTTGATGCTCCTTTGCACATTAAATTCACATCAAAGTTGCAGGGCATGTCTTATCAGAAGGGAACACTGGAGACAGAACAAGCCTGTCCTACTAAGGGATGTGGATGGGGAGACTCTCCTCTGGTGAGTAAGCATGGAGATCTGTTCGAGTTCCGTTGTGGGAGCTCCTCAGGTTGTGGGAGCTTCTCCTCATCTGGCAGCCTTGGATGTATTTCCAAGTAGGGTTCCAATATTTCCAAGGATGGCTCCCAGATGACACTGCTTCAGCTTGGGGAATATTGGCCTGAGTCTCTTCACAGAAAAAGAAGCTTCTACTGACAAGCAGACCCATTTGTGAGCAGGGAAGAGAAAGAGGGCAGATATCCAAAGTCTTCCATCTCCTAAAAACCTGAAAAGAGCCCTTGGTCTCTCTGTACTTCTGACATTAGCAGCATCTCTTCTTTACACCCTCATCTAAAGCAACTCATATGACTTTAATCCCATACCAGGTCAGGTCAGGAAGTTCAGCCCTTTCCTTCCCCAACCCTGTGGGGACCTTTCCCTGCTCTGGCAATGGACAACCTTCCTTTATCATTTATTACTTCCCTCCTGACTCTCTGTCTGGCGCACATGAACGGCCGTGCCTGTTTCAGCTGGCCCTGCCCACTCTCTGTGAGCACTGTGGCCAGAGATGGAAATGAGGTTTTCCTGCACTTGGAAGAAACAGCACACATGAGAGGCAGTTGAGTTTCCGGCGGGGGCCAAATTGGATGGTGTAGAGAGAATTACACCAGGAAAAACACTGTTAATTTAGCATAGGATGGTACACTTTTGTGCTTAGTTCTTTTAAATTTTTGTTATAAAAATATTCAATAGATAACACCTGTAGGGTAAAGGATAATGAAGTCTTATGTCCTCCACACCCAGACAAACTTAGTTGAAACCCCACTAAGGTTGAATCTGAATGGTCTAAATTTCAACTACTATTCTTTTGGGTATAAGAGGATGAAGGATGTGGGGAGATGTGCTGGGAGCACAAGATTGCAGAGTATCTCTGATAATGCCTTTTATTTCTACTTCTGGAAACATGAGATTAAGCCAGCATGGATATAAACCAACTGCAAGTAAGAAAGTGAAACCTGGCCTAGGCATCATGGGGGCTAAGTCCCATCATTGATTCATATTGATCAGCTATAGACCAATGTTTTCAGATAATACTTAATTGAGAGTGTTTTTGGCAAAATAATGTCCCCAAAGATGTTGATACCCTAGTTCTTCAAACTTACGAATATGTTACCTTGCATGTTATGCTACCTTTGCAGATTGTGGTTAAGGTTTTGGGCCTTGTAATGGGGAGAGTATCTTGGATTATCTGGGTGGGCCCAGTATAATCATGAGTCCTTAATAGTGGAATAAGAAGAAAAAAGGATGCTTGAGAGAGATGGCAGCATAAGAAGGATTCAACAGTCTGTTGCTTGCTCTGAGATGTAGGAAACTATGTGCAATGACCAGAGAAAAACCTCTCCGAGTTAAGGGCAACCCCAGCAGACAGCCAGCAAAGAAAGTGGAACCTCAGTCCTATAACCACAGGAACTGGATTCTGCCAACAACCTGAATGAGCAAGGAAAAAGATTCTCCCCTGGAACCTCCAGAAAGGAACACAGCCTGCCAACAACTTGTTTTTATCTGGTGAGTCCAGGGTTGAACTTCTGACCTACAAAACTGTAAGAAAATAAATGTGTGTTGTTTAACCCATTGTTTATAATAATTTGTTATGGCAGCAACAGACAACAAATAGAAGAAGCATCCACAGACAGACCTCAGAGATATTGTGAGTTCATTTCCAGATGACCTCAATAAAGTGAATATCACAATAAAGCAAATCACAGAAATTTTTTGGTTTCCTCATGCATAGAAAAGTTATGTTTACACTGTAGTCTATAAGTGGACAGTAGCATTATATCTAAAAAAGTAATACACATACCTTAATTTAAAAAATGCTTTATTGCTAAAAAATGCCAAAACAATTGCAATGGCAACATCAAAGATCATTGAATGCAGATCACTATAACAAATATAATAATAATAAAAAAGTTTGAAATATTGAAAGAATTATCAAAATGTGACACAGAGACATGAAATGAGCAAGTGTTGTTGGAAAAATGGTGCTGATAGATTTACTTGTTGCAGTGTTGCCACAAACTTTTGTCAAACAACAAAACAAAAACTCAT